ATAAATAATCATGTCACTATAATCATAATTTATCAATTTCAAAATAATAATTCAATTTTTTATTTAGCTTTTGGATTTAATATTTTTACGATATTTTATTAAAATAATTTAATTTTAAATATTTATTTATCTAATTTCCTTATTTGTTCAATTGGTAATGACTTATTTCTTTCATTAATTACTACAAATAACATTAAAATAAAATATTTAATACATTTATAAAAATAAAAACGTGACAATTAAATGTGAATACTTTTTTCTTTTTTAAACTTTACAGGTGAAACTTGAACTCCACACTTATTAAACTTAACATAAGAAGCTTTTTATAAAAAAAAAATCACTAGATAATGAGAACATTCTCATGTGAATGCCCACTTATAATGAATGTTAACAACTAAAAATATATAGAGATATGATTTATTCATATATAAAATAATCAAAATAATTTTATTCTTATTTTTAAAGCAAATTATTTTAATTATTTAAATAAAAATTTATTAAAATAACATTATTTTAAAATAATTTTCTTTAAAAATTTTAAATCTAGATAATAAACACTTTTATTTTATAATATTATTATTTTAAAATGGTCATAAATTTTTTTTTTAGTTTAAATCACCTATATTCGAAAGCTCATTAAATTATTGATTAATTCGAATTTAAGTTGGACATGACTATGACAAAAATTTTTTTAATAAACTTTAATAAAATTATATTCTTAAAATTTAAAATTAAATTAAAAGAGTTCTTACCGATTCATCATTGCTCGTGATATCATAAATTTTTCTAACAAAATTTCTTTAGTGGCTGCGCGGCATTATGCCACGTGAGGCAGTGAGTGGAGGAGTCAAACATTATCAGTTTTCAGGATAAGAAGAAAGTGAGCAGATGCCTGAAGCGACATTTAGGTTGCTGATGGCAAAAAGAAAAGGTTAAATGCTAGATTTGGTCCCTCAACTATAGTGGTTTGCACATTTTTGATCCTTTAACAATTTTTTGCACTTTTTTGATCCCTCAACTATACGAAATGCACTCCGTTAGTCCTTCTGTTAATTTCGATCGTTAACTCGCTTATGTGGCATTTTTTATTATTTTTTTGATGACGTGGCAAAAACAA